TCAGTAGCCAGTGTCTGCTTAAATCACGACCTCTGACCCCCTGTCCTGCATGTGCCACTCACAGAGGCTGGAGGGCAGATGGTTATTTGATTATCACAACCATACCATTACTATTACTAAAGCTGACCAGTGTTGGCAAAATCTAAATATCGAGTCATAATGACCGTGTGTTTGAGACATGACTAGACCTATGAATTTGAAGGTTTTTGAAGACACAGGCACTCTTGCTGGTATAAAATATTTGTATGGGTTTTAGCTTCTCAATTTCTTGTTTGGGGGAAGGAGATGGAATAATAAAGCAAATCATTATCTCATAAACTGTGAATTAAAAATTAAGTGAATTCACTGTCTTCCTATGCAGTATTAGGGACACAAGTTCTGTTCTCCTACAGTGTTCAGCGTCTAGTCAATCTGGCAGAATCTGCTTTTTTTTTTTTTTTCCCAGTTTAGCTTCTTATCCTGCCATCATTTTCAGATCTTGGACTGAACATTTTCTTTGATTTATTACTGGATAGCTTGTTTTTGTGTTTATCTGGCTTTCCCCAGTAATTTTCAAAAAGATATCTGATCCTGACTAAATCAATCATATTACACAAAAATGTTTATATGTGCTTTAAAATCTCCTAAAGATAAAATGTATTATCTTGAAACAAAATAGCAGAGACCAAAAATTCAAATAAGCATGTGTTTCATGATTTTTCATAGATGTTGGTAAAACGAGTATCTCTTTGGAAGATCCAGTGAACCTTAGATTGTACATTAAATTTAATGATTGCTGAACATTCCTAGGCATGGACTCTGATTTATGGTAAATTTCAGTGTTGTATGAATCTAGGTTGCAGGGGGGCTTACACTGTTGAAATGCTATTCTTTGTGCAGCACTACTTAATAATTGTATACAAAATAGAACCTAAGTGAAAATCAAGAAAATAATGTTATAAAGTGATATGCTTATAAAATAGACATTCCTGGGGACCAGCAGTTAGCATAACAGCTATGTCGCTTGTCTCCCATGTAGTTGATCATGGTTCGCGTCCCGGACCCAGTAGCTTAAAACATGCTGGGCACATGTGCATGCATGTCCAAGGTCCCTAGAGGAGAATGGAGGAGAAGGGATTGCAGTGTGGCCATCCCCCCAGGGGGTGATTTCTCACTTTGTATCTCCCAGTCGTAGCGTTGTAGAAACTGTAAAAGACAGACACGTTCAGCCCAGGGGACTCCTGTTCCTGGCACTTAAGC